TCTGCTGAGTACAGCACACCATTACACAAACCTATCGTGATAGGTGGCCACCCATTGATGTTTAATTGTCTTTTAAAACTTTTTGTGCTATACCTAACTCTTTGAAATGTAATATTATTTCATTTAAACCATTTATATGTAGAAAAATCAAAAGTCAAGATTGATTTAATTGTTCTACTTTAACCATTTGCAACTGCTACCTCCTCCATCCTATAAATACGGTCATTGAACAAATTATCTTTACCATCTAACTATTTTGTTTCTTCCTTCTTTGTTTTTCAGCTAGCCTTTCAACATACAAAATGGCAAAAGGTTCAGCTTTAGCATCCATCCAAATTTCCCTTGTGCTATTACTAGCAATCTTTGTTTGTTCAGAAGCTAATCGTCTTGACCCTTACTATTGCTGCCGTGGAAAGGAAACAAATATTACTGTGTACCTTCAAGTGTTTACGGGCGGACCAAATACCACCAGTGTTGCAGTTGCCGGCGCCCCTGGTAAGCCGAGAACTCCCTCCAATTTTGGAACCATTATTGTTAATGATTTTAACATAACACAAGGCATCAGCAACAATTCTCCAACTATTGGTCGGGCCCAAGGCATTGAGATAGCTTCATCCCGTGATGGATCAAGATCACTGGGCATATTTTCCCTCATTTTCTCCAACTTCAAATACAACGGTAGCACATTGGAATTCCAAGGAGCAGGATATAACTTACAAGTTGGTAGTCCGGCGAGAGAAGATCCAATAGTTGGTGGCACCAAAACGTTTAGGTTTGCTCGGGGATATGCATTTTTTCAGACAGTTCTACGAAGGCCGGCACGGAATAATACGGTTATAAGGGGCGATATTACCGTAATCTCATGCCCAGGAGGAGGGAAATTTTGAATAATAAAGGAAAAACTAATAATAAGAAAAGCCAATTACAGGCCATATACGTACTTGGTGATTTATGTTTCTTATGACCTACTTGTTCACTCGACTATCTTACTAAGAAATCCATCAAGGAGGATGGGAAAAAATAACTAATAAAAGAAAAATAATAAATAAGAAAACAAAGTATAGATTTTTATCGTTATTGTGGTCTTAGGTGTACTTGGTAATCAATGTATGACGTTTCTTCATGCACTTCTTGTTTCGTCAATATGTCCATCTAAATAAAAACACTATTGGTGTTCTTCAATTACACTTGGCTTCGCATTACGTAAGCTTGTGAATTACACTATTGGTGTTCTTCAATTACGTATGTTCGTGAATGTGTTAAAATATGATATGTGCGTTTACTAATAAAGATGTGTATTGAAACTTAGATAAAATCTTCACCTAATTGTGGAATTCGCTTGAACTGATAATTGTACACCAAGTCTTATTGTAAGGTAGTCTTTATTGTTCATAACTTTTGTTTTACATATGATGTACATCGAACTTGCTTTATGAAAAATAATCTTTTACTCAGTTTAACAAATGGTAATCCTTCTGCTATATAACTACCACAACTAACAAAAGGTGACAAAAGACCTTTCCATCTATTTTTCCTTAACATGGTTAAGAACTTCTGTTTTGTTGAGCATTAAGCTTAAAGTGCAATTCACCATTTAGATGGTCAAGATGGATAATGGTTTGGCCACAAAATAGTTAGTTAATCAACCTTAGGTAGACTAAGTGCTTAGGAAACTTGCAACAGGTTTGTGGTTGCTGCTGATGTGTCAATTCAGCATTGGATAAAAAGTTGTCGTCCTACACGAGGAGATCACGTGACCGCGTGGATGAAAATTGGGTGTGGTTGTACCTTTGTGAAGCAAAGGCTGTCGTCCATTTTCTTTGTCTTTCATTTATTGTTTTTCCTATTTCTTTTATCCTTCTCTTTTTTCCAAGCCACATGATTTTTTTTTTTCGGAGTGATGGGCTTGAGACCACAAGGCACAAGTTGTTCATCTATTCTTCTTCTCTTTTTCTCTCCGTTTCATCTTCTTCTTCTTCTGCTTCGCTTTTCGTTTTTCTCTTTTTCCGCCATTCTCTCTCCTTTTCTTCTCCTCTGCCATCTTCCTCTTCCACAGGCAAGAAAACTCCTGAGGTGATCATTTTTCCTCTGTAGATTTGGATTAAAATTTTTTCCTATTTTTTTTTTTTTCCACTTCTACAAGACCTCTTTTTCCCATTTTACGCTTCCCCCTTAGATATATCTCCAGCTTCTCATTTTACTCTTCTGCAAGACCTCTCTTCGCTATTTTTTCCCTATATTTTTTCACTATTTGTCCACTTCCCACCCCCGTATTTCTCTTGGAGGCTGAAGATGAATCTCATCATATCAGGTTTTTTTCTTTGTCTATTTGCTCTTGTGTGATGCCAAACAATTTCATGTATTTTTTTCCCATAATTATCTTGTTATTTTGTAGGCCTCGGTCTTATTTTTATTTTTTCTGACCTTTTTATTTCCTTTTTTTTTTTGTTCCCTCTTTTTGTTTTCTCTGAGATAAGAACAAATGGCTTGCAGATGTACTTGGTTTTATTCTTTTTCTTCGGAGGTATGTTCTACTCAAGGTTTTTTTCTTTGATAAGACCTTTTTTTTTTTCTTTTTGTAACTATCTCTAAAGTCTCTCAGATCCATCGGAATATTTTTTGTCTCTTATTCTTGAGTGTCTACAGTTATGATGGTTGAAGGGATGATGGAAAAATCACTTGAACCATAGTGTTGTTGTGCTATAAACATTCTATGATTTTATTTAACCAAGTTTTGTTGCCCATTTTTTTTTTGTTAGAGAATGGATCAAGTATTTGCCAGAGAAAGGAGCAAGTAGGGAACTTTTTTCGTTAACTGTTAGGGTTAGGTAAATTACTCCAAATTTAGTGCTTAGTGACTTTGCTATTTCTTGTTTTGAGCATTATCCGGCTATAGCAGGTTTTTTTTTTTTTTAGGCAATCTGTGGTGCCTTGATGTTTTGATTCTGCTTATCTTGATCAAAACTCCACCAATATTTCCGTATGAGAAGTTTTTGTCACTGGTGTAATACGTCTATGTTGACTTGAAAAAGTACCATTCTGAAGGTCGGCTGGCACTGTTGTCAAAGAAATTTGAACTACAAGTGGAAGAAGTAAAATTGACCTGCATGCACATAAAATACAAGGAAAATCTCCAAAATCAAATATGGATGGAATATTACGATGAACAGTTTCTAAACAACTTTAAATTGCATACCCCCTGACTAGGAAATGTATCACATTGCTACACTGTTATAGTTTTTCCCTTTTCTTTTTAGTTAGTAGCTCAAAATCTCTTGTATCTCTATACCTGTAGAAATGGTTTCTGTTTTGTTCTTTTAATCCTTTTTTTTACTTGACTAATTTGTTCAGCTTAATTCTTTTTTAGTTTGATTGAGCTAGACGACTATGAAGCTTAAAGAGTTAGTGACGGCAATTCTCTAGAGGCACTAAGATTAATGAACTTTACTCTAGATGAGTTCAATGTGAATTGCATGAGGTAACATGCTCGAATTAAAAGTTATCAATAGTTTGTTTTGTTGTATGCCTAATTAACAATTTATGGACTTGACTATTTACATCTGGGATAGATAATATTGTCAAAATTCACGTTGAAAGCACACTTTTTTTTTGCCTTTCACATTTTTTGTTACATAGCTAAAAGTGAAAAAATCGTTGTTTTGCAGTTCACCTTTCTCTATTTTTTTATTTGAGTATCAGATCATTTTGCTATGATTTAACATGCATTTAATTGTCTTTTTTCTTAAATAAAAGAAACTTGTTGGAGAGTACAAAGGTGAAACCTGATATAACTCATAGTATCCCTATTAAATTTTACATTAGAGGCTTAACAGTGAATTCTGGTGCAGCAAAAGCTGTCGATCTAATTAAGATATTTGGAGTAATAGCTGAATTCCTTTCCATATGAATGATGAAATTCATTGACTTTTTTGATGGTTGGAGTGTTAAATCTAGGTGTTTCTCCTTCTCAAATTCAATGCATATATTTCTCAGCCTTTGGCTTCCACTATTTGAAATTTTCTGCACTTTTCCTTTTTTTTTATTTATGTGAATAATATCCTTTTTTCTGGGTTTGCAGGTGAAAATATTGAGTTTTTCTGAGAACCATTTCAAAATGGTAAATTTCACATAATTGGAAGGTATTATGCATTATGGTTTTCTGTGCGTTGGATGACTATGTTTGTTACTAATGTAATATCTTTATTAGTGCAATTCCTAAAAACTTAGAATGCATTAGTAGATGATCAAAAGGATTGGTGCTAGTAATGACACTCCACAAACTGCCTATCTGGATTGGGGATAAGTTATTAGGATAGGCGAAAAGGAAGGACAACTTTTGGTAATGCTAGCGTTTCCAATGATTCGGCTTATATCTTTATGACTCTAAGCTCTATTAAGCAGAACTTCATTTTCCCTGAAACATCGAGATGTCCTTTGTATCTTAGTTCCTCATTTTTTATCAAGTGGATGTTCATAATCATTTACATTTAATCTTAATAATTTACATTTTCATCTTGTAGTGTCCTTGATGCCAAATATTGTTTTCATCTTGTACCAAGTCTTGGTTGAATTAACAGTGGGACAAAAAAATTGCTGTAATTGTTTTGACTTTTTTGCATGACTTTTCTTTTGGACTTAATTTTGTTTTAGATTGTTTTTGTATTTATGGTGTCATTTTGCTGACACAAATAATAGTTATTACATTGTTTTACATATGGATACATATTGTAGTTGTTTATATTGTGCAATCAACTATTTAGTCAATGTCTAATGTCTAGGAAGTTAAGAAAGGTTGACTAATGAATGCTTAAAATTGTTACCTCTCCTTTATATGCCACATTATATTTATATTTTAGCAGAATATGACCTTTTTTGTTGTTTAAACTTTGCTGTTAATTTGTGTAATTTCTGATTGAGAAGATGATTTAAATTCTTTAATCCTGCAAAATTTCAGGTTGAGCATGTAATATTGGAAGTGAAGGTGGTGGCAGAATATGACCTGATTGGCATATTCTTGGGACTCATTCTCTCACACTTGCCAGTCATGTTCTTGATATTCAAGGTACATAAAGATGCAGTCACCACATAAGCGGACAACAAAAAGTAACTTTGTAAGTTTTCAAGGTTTAACAATTTGATATTTTGACTTTTAGGTCCTTTGTTATCTGCTGGCATTACAAACTAATCTATTTTGCTTGAATAAGTATTGCATTAGTATGAGCTGGATTTGAAAAATTGAAAATGCATTCAGATGTTTAGTGCTGAATGCTGGTTATTGTTTGGGGAACACAATTTCTTCTCTTCTTGCTAATCCTCAGGCTTTATTACTATTGTTTTGTTTCCTATTGTGGTCTCGCATCCCCTATGCTAGATTTGATGTTCTAACATATTAATTATCTATGCTCCAATAAGTTTCAAATGTTTGTAATAGGTTGAGATATTAAGATTTGTAAATTCTTTTTTGAAGATGAGATTGTTTAGGCTCTCTATTTCTTTTTCCCTAGAAAAAGTTAATCTAATGTCATTTTTATTTTCTTTTTCCCAATAAATTTGATTTTGTTGACATTTATTTATTCTAAATTTTTGTTAGATGAAGGAGCAAAGGAAAAAGGAAGCTACTTTTCTTCATTCAGTCTTGAAGGTACGTTTTGATGTTTTGGTGTTCTCTCGCTTTTTCCCCTTGCCAGTTTTATTGTAATTTTTTGCTCACTTTACCCTATTTATTGGTCTTCACAAAAGTGGAGGATGAACTTTTATGAAGGTATCATATCTCCTCTAGATTTAAAGTCGTTTTCTTTAGTAGTTTACCTATTTCAATAAATTCATCAATAAGAGGTTGCAATTCTTCTTTGACAGCTCCATTGAAAGCTGTGATTATTGATGAAATCATAATCAGTTTTTCTTGTGCTTAGATAGTGTCATTTTCCAATAGCTCTTTAAATATACTAATTTGTAAGAAAATGATGTGCATTGACTGATTGTGGCTTTTAATACTTGCTCTCCTGTCCCTTCTAATGCTTTCATGTTTGAGTAGTTGGTATGAGGTAACTGAAATGGCTAAAAGAACATCATATAAGATGTTTTATGTAGAAAAAGATTCTTCAAGTCCTGCATCCCAATTGTCCAGTTTCAATGCGGTCAGATTGAGTTTCTTGTCAAATTGTGTATTCTGGGGGATGATCACAAGGGTGGAGAAACATACGTGGACTTGTAATTCGACTCCAAAAGATATGTGAACTGTTAGGAATTCGGCGAGTTTTGGGGGTATTCGATTGTCTCTTCAGACAAATTTTACAACAATCTGCTACATAGAAATCAACGGAAATTACATTCTCGAGAACCATATTCAATTGCACTTCTCTAGTGCAATTAAGATATTTGTTTCATTCCAATTTCTCTTCAGACATTCTCTTATTCGATCAATGTCTTAATGAACGCTACAAAAGATTTATTATTTCAATCTCTGCTCTTCATCCAACCCTCCCCTTCCCCCCAAACCCCCTAAATTTTAGGGTTAGGAGGTTGGAAGCCTATATGGCGTGTAAATAGCTAAACATTCGTGAACATTTTCAATTTCAACTACAAAATTGAAACCTATACTTGGACATTTTTTTAAATTAATTTTTTAATGAGAGGATGCTAAAAGCCTATTACAACACGTAACCAACAAGAAAATGAGTGGCTCTTATGCAATTTGCAAACATGAATGGCCTCAGACTAAAAGGTGAAATTAAAGCTTAGGGTGCAAAGTGTTCAAAATTAAAATTTGGGGTACAAAATGAAATTAAAAGTGGGATAAGTTCGAAGATGCAAAGTCAAGTTAATCCTTTTCTAGAACCTTATTAAATGTGTTGCCTTGTTTTTTTTTTTTCAGGTAATTTTGTTTCAAGTTTTTAAGGTTTTCCATTATCCCACAATACAACAGAAGAAATTCTTGACTATCAACTTTGAATGATACATCTGCTGAGTATACCACTGTATACAAACCAATTTTCATAGGTGGCTACCCATTTATATTGAACTCTCTCTTTAAACTTTTTACGCTCTACCTAACTCTTAGAAATGTAATCATATTTCATTTCAACCATTTATATGCAGAAAAATCAAAAGTCAAGATTGATTTAGCTACTCAATGTAAGTTCGGAACCTTATTAAGGTGGTAGAAGTTCGAAGGTGCAAAGCGGAGTTAATTCTTTTCCAGAATCTTGTGAAATGTGTTTCATTGTTTTGTAATTTGTTTTTTAGGTAAAGTGTTTCAAGATTTCAAGGTTTTTCATTATCTCACTATATATTTAGCAAAAGAAATTCTTGACTCTGAACTTTGAATGACATATCTGCTATGTATACCACACCATTCTACACAAACCTACTTTGATAGGTGGCCACCCATTGAGGTTTAACGATCTTTTAAAACTTTTTTATGCTCTACCAAACTCTTTGAAATGTAATCTTATTTCATTTAAACCATTCATATGCAGAAAAATCAACAGTCAAGTTTGATTTATCTCCTGAGTATAAGTTTGGAACATTGTTAAACCGGTACAAATTCGAAGGTGCAAAATGGAGTTAGTCATTTTTCGGAGCCCTGTTAAATGTATTTCATTTTTTTTTTTTGGTAAATGTGTTTCAAGTTTTCAAGGTTTCCATTATTACACTATATAGCAAAAGAAATTAGGAATGGCAATGGGGTGGGGGTTAGACAGGGGACTCCTCCCCAACCCCGTCCCCGCCTTGCCCCGCTTCCCCTATGGGCGCACCCACAGGGCGAATAAAAATTTGTCATACAATTTCATTGTAGTCATATTTGAACAAAGGATCAAATACTTAAATGCCAACACATCACCAAATCATTATTCATTGTAATTTCACAATTGTGTGTCATAAAAACAATCAAACAAGAGTTATTTAAATACATCCCAATATGATGAAACAAACACAACTAAAGTAATCAAGTTTTCACTTTGGATACAAATACAACCACTAAATCATTGTTGTGTGATTTTTTGAGAAAAGAAGTGTTATTGTGTTAAGTGTAATTAGGAATTTAGTATAAATGTATTAGTAAATTTGATACAACTAATTAATAATTTTTATTAGTAGACATGTATAATTATTAGCATTTGATAATATCAATAATATTACAAATACTAATATAAATTATATAATACTTATAACTAATAATATCATTATTATAAATTTGTAACTAATTAAATTAAATATCACATATATAATTATATACATATATATTTAATTTTTCTCAACGGGTGATGGGGCAGGGGATGGGGTGGGTGTAAACTCCCTCTCCGGCTACCCCGTTTTCTAATGGGGGAAAAAATTCTTCCTCCCCCCGAGCCCCGTTTGGCCGCTGGCACCCTCCTAGATAACCATCATTAAAAGAAATTCTTAACTATGAATTTTGAATGATATATCTGCCGTGTATACCACACCATTCTACACTAACCTACTATGATAGGTGGCCACCCATTGAGGTTTAATTCTCTTTTAAAAGTTTTTGTGCTCTACCTAACTCTTGCAAATGCAATCCTATTTCATTTAAACCATTTATATGCAGAAACATCAAAAGTCAACATTAATTTATCTACTGAGTATATGTTTGGAACCTTGTTAAAGTGGTACAAGTTTGAAAATGCAGAGTGGAGTTAATCCTTTTCCAGAACCTTATCGATTGTATTTCATTTTTTTTTAGGGAAATGTGTTTCATGTATTCAAGGTTCTCCATTATCCCACTATATATCAAAAGAAATTCTTGGCTCTGAACTTTGAATGATATATCTGCTGAGTACAGCACACCATTACACAAACCTATCGTGATAGGTGGCCACCCATTGATGTTTAATTGTCTTTTAAAACTTTTTGTGCTATACCTAACTCTTTGAAATGTAATATTATTTCATTTAAACCATTTATATGTAGAAAAATCAAAAGTCAAGATTGATTTAATTGTTCTACTTTAACCATTTGCAACTGCTACCTCCTCTATCCTATAAATACGGTCATTGAACAAATTATCTTTACCATCTAACTATTTTGTTTCTTCCTTCTTTGTTTTTCAGCTAGCCTTTCAACATACAAAATGGCAAAAGGTTCAGCTTTAGCATCCATCCAAATTTCCCTTGTGCTATTACTAGCAATCTTTGTTTGTTCAGAAGCTAATCGTCTTGACCCTTACTATTGCTGCCGTGGAAAGGAAACAAATATTACTGTGTACCTTCAAGTGTTTACGGGCGGACCAAATACCACCAGTGTTGCAGTTGCCGGCGCCCCTGGTAAGCCGAGAACTCCCTCCAATTTTGGAACCATTATTGTTAATGATTTTAACATAACACAAGGCATCAGCAACAATTCTCCAACTATTGGTCGGGCCCAAGGCATTGAGATAGCTTCATCCCGTGATGGATCAAGATCACTGGGCATATTTTCCCTCATTTTCTCCAACTTCAAATACAACGGTAGCACATTGGAATTCCAAGGAGCAGGATATAACTTACAAGTTGGTAGTCCGGCGAGAGAAGATCCAATAGTTGGTGGCACCAAAACGTTTAGGTTTGCTCGGGGATATGCATTTTTTCAGACAGTTCTACGAAGGCCGGCACGGAATAATACGGTTATAAGGGGCGATATTACCGTAATCTCATGCCCAGGAGGAGGGAAATTTTGAATAATAAAGGAAAAACTAATAATAAGGAAAGCCAATTACAGGCCATATACGTACTTGGTGATTTATGTTTCTTATGACCTACTTGTTCACTCGACTATCTTACTAAGAAATCCATCAAGGAGGATGGGAAAAAATAACTAATAAAAGAAAAATAATAAATAAGAAAACAAAGTATAGATTTTTATCGTTATTGTGGTCTTAGGTGTACTTGGTAATCAATGTATGACGTTTCTTCATGCACTTCTTGTTTCGTCAATATGTCCATCTAAATAAAAACACTATTGGTGTTCTTCAATTACACTTGGCTTCGCATTACGTAAGCTTGTGAATTACACTATTGGTGTTCTTCAATTACGTATGTTCGTGAATGTGTTAAAATATGATATGTGCGTTTACTAATAAAGATGTGTATTGAAACTTAGATAAAATCTTCACCTAATTGTGGAATTCGCTTGAACTGATAATTGTACACCAAGTCTTATTGTAAGGTAGTCTTTATTGTTCATAACTTTTGTTTTACATATGATGTACATCGAACTTGCTTTATGAAAAATAATCTTTTACTCAGTTTAACAAATGGTAATCCTTCTGCTATATAACTACCACAACTAACAAAAGGTGACAAAAGACCTTTCCATCTATTTTTCCTTAACATGGTTAAGAACTTCTGTTTTGTTGAGCATTAAGCTTAAAGTGCAATTCACCATTTAGATGGTCAAGATGGATAATGGTTTGGCCACAAAATAGTTAGTCAATTCCTTATAAATCGGGAAAGTCAACTTTTGAGCTTTTCTTCAATTTTAATGCTGAATCGTATATAAACCTATGTGGATTGGACGGAGCAAAAACATATTATCAGGAAAGTCAATTTTTGAGTTTTTTTTTTATTATTTTTACCTCTAAATAGGGGAGACATACGTAGACTTGTAATTCGACTCCAAAAGATATGTGAACTGTTAGGAATTCGGCGAATTTTGGGGGTATTTGATTGTCTCTTAAGACAAATTGTACAACAACCAGCTACATAGAAATCAACAGAAATTACATTCTCGAGATCTATATTCAATTGCACTTCGTTAGGGCAATTAAGGTATTTGTTTCATTCTAATTTCTCGTCAGACATTCTCTTGTTCGATCAATGTCTTAATGAAGGCTACAAAAGATTTATTATTTCAATCTCTGTTCTTCATCCAACCCTCCCTTTCCCCCCAAACCCCCTAAATTTTAGGGTTAGGAGGTTGGAAGCCTAGCTATATGGCGTTTAAATAGCTAAACATTTGTGAACATTTTCAATTTCAACTACAAAATTGAAGCCTATACTTGGACATTTTTTTAAATTAATTTTTTAATGTGAGGATGCTAAAAGCCTTTTACTACACGTAACTAACAAGAAAATGAGTGGCTCTTATGCAATTTGCAAACATGAATGGCCCCAGACTAAAAGGTGAAAGTAAAGCTTAGGGTGCAAAGTGTTCAAAATTAAAATTTAAAGTATAAAATGAAAAAGTGGGATAAGTTCGAAGATGCAAAGTTAAGTTAATCCTTTTCCAAAACCTTATTAAATGTGTTTCCTTGTTTTTTTTTTAGGTAATTTTGTTTCAAGTTTTTAAGGTTGTCCATTATCCCACAATACAACAGAAGAAATTCTTGACTATCAACTTTGAATGACACATCTGCAAAGTATACCATTCTATACAAACCTACTTTCATAGGTGGCTATCCATTTATATTGAATTCTCTCTTAAAACTTTTTACGCTCTACCTAACTCTTAGAAATGTAATCATATTTCATTCAAACCATTTATATGGAGAAAAATCAAAAGTCAAGATTGATTTAGCTACTCAATGTAAATTCGGAACCTTATTAAAGTGGTAGAAGTTCGAAGGTGCAAAGCAGAGTTAATTCTTTCTAGAACCTTGTGAAATGTGTTTCATTGTTTTGTAATTTGTTTTTTAGGTAAAAGTGTTTCAAGATTTCAAGGCTTTCCATTATCTCACTATATATATATAGCAAAAGAAATTCTTGACTCTGAACTTTGAATGATATATCTGCTATGTATACCACACTATTCTACACAAACCTACTTTGATAGGTGGCCACCCATTGAGGTTTGATTCTCTTTTAAAACTTTTTATGCTCTACCAAACTCCTTGAAATGTAATCTTATTTCATTTAAACCATTAAGTCAAGTTTGATGTATCTCTTGAGTATAAGTTTGGAACATTGTTAAACCGATACAAATTCGAAGGTACAAAGTGGAGTTAGTCATTTTTCGGAGCCCTGTTAAATGTATTTCATTTTTTTTTGGTAAATGTGTTTCAAGTTTTCAAGGTTTCCATTATTACACTATATAGCAAAAGAAATTAGGAATGGCAATGGGGTGGGGGTTAGACGGGGGACTCCTCCCCTACCTCGTCCCCGCCTTGCCCCGCTTCCCTATGGGCACACCCACAGGGCGAATAAAAATTTGTCATACAATTTCATTATAGTCAAATTTGACCAGAGGATCAAATACTTAAATGCCAACACATCACCAAATCATTATTCATTGTAATTTCACAATTGTAAGTCACAAAAACAATCAAACAAAAGTTATTTAAATACAATCCAATATGATGAAACAAACACAACTAAAGTAGTCAAGTTTTCACTTTTGATAGAAATACAATCACTAAATCATTGTTGTGTGAATTTTTTGAGAAAAAAAGTGTTATTGTGTTAAGTATAATTAGGAATTTAGTATAAATGTATTAGTAAATTTGATATAACTAAGTAACAATTTCTATTAGTAGACATGTATAATTATTAGCATTTGATAATATCAATTATATTACAAATACTAATATACATTATATAATACTTATAACTAATAATACCATTATTATAAATTTGAAACTAATTAAATTAAATATCACATATATAATTATAACATATAAATTTAATTGTTTTTAACGAGTGATGGGGCAGGGGATGGGATGGGGGTATACTCCCTCGCCGGCTGCCCCGTTTTTTAATGTGGGAAAAAATTCTCCGTCCCTCCCCGGCCCCGTTTGCCCGCGGGCACCCTCCTGGATTACCATCACTAAAAGAAATTCTTAACTATGAATTTTGAATGATATATCTACCGTGTATACCACACCATTCTACACTAACCTACTCTGATAGTTGGCCACCCATTGAGGTTTAATTCTCTTTTAAAACTTTTTATGCTCTACCTAACTCTTGCAAATGCAATCCTATTTCATTTAAAACATTTATATGCAGAAAAATCAAAAGTCAACATTGATTTATCTACTGAGTGTATGTTCGGAACCTTGTTAAAGTGGTACAAGTTTGAAAATGCAGAGTGGAGTTAATCCTTTTCCAGAACCTTATTGAATGTGTTTCATTTTTTTTAGGGAAATGTGTTTCATGTTTTCAAGTTTTTCCATTATCCCACTATATATCAAAAGAAATTCTTGGCTCTGAACTTTGAATGATATATCTGCTGAGTACACCACACCATTAGACTCACCTATTGTGATAGGTGGCCACCCATTGATGTTTAATTGTCTTTTAAAACTTTTTGTACTATACCTAACTCTTTGCAATGTAATATTATTTCATTTAAACCATTTGTATGTGGAGAAATCAAAAGTCAAGATTGATTTAATTGTTCTACTATAACCATTTGCAACTGCTACCTCCTCCATCCTATAAATACGGTCATTGAACAAATTATCTTCACCATTTAACTAATTTCTTTCTTCCTTCTTTGTTTTTCAGCTAGCCTTTCAACATACAAGATGGCAAAAGGTTCAGCTTTAGCATCCATCCAAATTTCCCTTGCCCTATTACTAGCAATTTTTGTTTGTTCAGAAGCTAATCTTCTTGCCGTTGCTGCCGTGGAAAGGAAACAAATATTACTGTGTACATTCAACTGTTTACGGGCGGACCAAATACCACCAGTGTTGCAGTTGCCGGCGCCCCTGGTATGCCGAGAACTCCCTCCAATTTTGGAACCATTATTGTTAATGATGCTAACATGACACAAGGCATCAGCAACAATTGTCCAACTATTGGTCGGGCCCAAGGCATTTATATAGCTTCATCCCGTTATGGATCAAGCTCACAGGGCGTATTTTCCCTCCTTTTCTCCAACTTCCAATACAACGGTAGCACATTGGAATTCCAAGGACCAGGATATAACTTACAAGTTGGTGGTACGGCGTGAGAAGTTCCAGTAGTTGGTGGCACCAAATCGTTTAGGTTTGCTCGGGGATATGCATTTTTTCAGGCAGTTGTACAAAGGCCGGCACGGAATAATACGGTTATAAGGGGCGGTATTACCGTAATCCCATGCCCAGGAGGAGGGAAAGTTTGAATAATAAAGGAAAAACTAATAATAAGGAAGCCAATTACAGACCATATACGTACTTGGTGATATATGTTTCTTATGAACTATTTGTTCACTCGACTATCTTACTAAGAAATCCATCTAGGAGGATGGGAAAAAATAACTAATAAAAGAAAAATAATAATTAAGAAAACCAAGTTTAGATTTTTATCGTTATTGTGAACTTATATGTACTTGGTAATCAATGTATGACGTTTCTTTATGCACTTCTTGTTTCGCCAATATGTCAATCTAAATGAAAACACTATTAGTAAATTACACTATTGGTGTTCTTCAATTACGTAAGCTTGTGAATGTGTTAAAATAAGATATGTGCGTTTACTAATAAAGATGTGTATTGAAACTTAGATAAAATCTACACCTAATTCTAGAATTTGCTTGAACTGATGGTGTACGTTTATTATTGCTTTTTACATATGCAAAATCCTCACCATAATGTTTTTGGAAAAATTTTTAACTATCACCCCTGAAGTTTTTGATTATTGCAACTACGTACTCTAGGGTGCTAAAAATTTACGCTCACACTCCTTGATATTTTGATAAGACTATAACAGTCTTCACAAAAGCTTAAAATACTAAGTGAAAATCATGTTGGAAAAAGGAAAAGGAAACCCTTTTAAGCTAATGCCTCTCTATCCCAAAAGTTCCAACCCCATCTAATGTAGTACGTTATATTTCATTCCCAGTTGTGCTGACTGGATTTTTTTTTTCTGAGTTCTGTGAAAAGCTAACCACCAAGTAGGAATGCATTTGTTAAAAGAGATCTCTTCACAAATTAATTAGAAAAAAGAAAGTAAAGTCCAAGCACCAAAAAATGATGCTTTCAAAACATTGTTGAAATTGCAAAGAACTACTCAGAAATTTTTAGATAGTAGGTAATGGAGATATTTGACTTCCTTTGGCATCTAATTTGTTTTAGAAATCAAATAAGG